CACTCCTCGGAAGGAAGATGGGGCAATCTACTTCCGTAGTGATATTGCCTCGGAAACCCAAGGAGTGGTTGCTATGAGTCAGGTCCGACTCGAAGGCACATAACAACAACAACAATATAATAACATACATAAAATAAATTTATGAATATATGTATGATAATGAAAACTGGCTTTTTTGTAGGAAGAGGAAGCAGCATTTTTTAAATAGTAATGCCTTCAAATGACTTAACTTTTTAAAAGCTGTAATGTTTAACATATTCAATAACCTGGTTGTCTTTCTAATTTTGGATCTATAATTAGATATTTTAAACATTTGTTTATTCTGAAACAATTTGAAATGGTATTAGTTCCTAAATATACCCAGTTGAGAGCACTAAACCATTTATTTGAAGAAATTTCAAAGAGAACTTACGAAAAACATAGTCAGATTTATAGCTTACCTGATATACTAAGTTATGTGTCATGAAAAGTTTTCCTATTCGCAGAGTGAGATGCTATAAACTTTAATTAATATTTATACAACACTTATTTTACAGACTGGTGTGAAGTGCTTGTGAGTATTATGTTTTTCATATCTGAAAAAATTTAAAAAATGGATTTTAATAGCTAAGGATTTTTCATTTCAGAGCATAGTGGTTAAGAACACTTGACTCCAAATCCTGACTGGGCTACTTATGTCTATGTAATCTTGGGCAAATTACTTAATCTCCATTTCCCCATCTCTAAAACTTGATTAACAGTAGAGCCTAACTCTTAGAGTTATTTTGTAGCTTGAGTGAGATAATGGATGGAAAGTGCATTACACAGACTCTGGTGCATAATAAACTTTTAATTAATGTTAGTCATCCTCACCATCATTGCTGGTTTTATTCAACAAGATACTTACAAAATTTAATCTCTAATTTTAGCACTGTATTCTTGACTGGAAAAATTAGCTTCTGTATACAATCTCTTCTGGATCTCTGAGACAGAGATATGATGCCTTTCTCATAAAATACCTATTCATTGTATAATGATATTTGTGAGCAATAATTGATTGCAAGTTTCTTTGAAGATGGCAGGATTCAGTGTTATATAACAGTGCTGTTGTTATTTGAAAATATAAGAGATTTAAGGGAAAACATGACAAATTGATCCATCTATGTACTAATTAGTTTCCTATTGCACTCATGCTTTCCTTTTATGATCATTTTCTTTGTTATCTTATGGTACCTCTTGGTCCAAATAAGCATTTTAGGTTATGATCTAGAAAAGGATCTGTGAGATTTGTGACTAAAACTAGGCTACCAGAGGATATGATTCATAAGTGAAAGGAAGTTGTTAGTGTATTATCAAGGACAGATACTTTTGGAAGTCTCATTAATAATTTTACTGACAGGCTCAGCTCACCAAATTATTCTAGAATTTGGAGGAATGGAGGGAAAACGTCAAGCTTTGGGAAACTGATCTGTCATCTGCTCCAGTTTTCCTTCAAAAACATTGAATATATACGTATATTTTAATTTAAGATTATATATGTTGTTGTTGTTATGTGCTGTTGAGTCAGACCCGACTCATACCAACCCCTCCTTGGGTTTCTGAGGCAGTATCATTATGGAAGTAGATTGCCCCATCTTCCTTCCAAGGAGTGGCTGGTGGTTTGAACTGCCAGCCTTCCAGTTAGCAGTCAAGTGCCTTAGCCACTATGCTACCAGAGGTCCCTTAATATTATATATAATATCATCATACTTTTTAATGTTTTAAAATCAACCTCCATCTTTTGAGTACCTATTACCAGGTTGTTGTGTTGTTAAGTGCCGTCGAGTCGTTTCCGACTCATAGTGACCCC